CTTTAATACTGCATATTTAAAGTAGAGAAATATTCAATTATTAGGAATATTAGTGGTTTTCAACTGATCTTTTGCATACTTAAAATGAAGATGCCACAGCAAAAATCACTGAGTAGAACCTGGGACCTTCAGATCTGACGCTCTGCCAGCTGAGCTATTTCGGCGACTTTGAAAGCCAAATATTGATTGTTGAATTTCCTAAACCATGGAATATTCAGTGCCGTCAAGCCAGCTTCCCATCCGGAAACGTATGGAAGCATATGTGGAAAAAAAATCATGTTACTATGCAGTAGCAGAAATTATATTTCATTTTCATATTACCACTGCCAAATTTGACTCATAAATGAAATTAATAAGCAATCTTCCAAACTGATTTTTAATTTTCTTCTTCATCATTGCTCATTCTGTGACTTAATGAAAAGTATAAAGAAAAAAACATTTGAGAACCAATTTTCAAATAACACTCCAGCAAATGTGTAACAAAATTCTATTTGAAATGTCAAATTTGAAAATTAAAATGCATTAGCAGAATTCAATTTTCATTTTCAACATACAACTGCTAAATGTGACTCACAAATAAAAAAACAAGCAATCCTCCAAACTGCTTTTTAACTTTCTGCTTCATCATTGCTCATTCTGTGACTTAATGGAAATGGTAAAGAAAGAGGAATTGCTATGTCTTTTTCGTGCCCGCCCTGCATACTGTGTTACATTTTTGCTGGAGTGTTATTTGAAAATCAAATCTTAAATGTTTTATTCTTTATACTTTTCATTTAGTCACAGAATAAGCAATGATGAAGAAGAAAATTAAAAATCAGTTTGGAAGATTGCTTATTAATTTCATTTGAGTCAAATTTGGCAGTGGTAATATGAAAATGAAATATCATTTCTGCTACTGCATAATAAAAGGATTTTTTCCCCTCCACATATGCTTCCATAGAACGAGCGGCAAGCCAGCCCTGCTTCGATTTTTAAAGGCGCAACTACAAGAAAAATTACGGTGTCTGCGGTCGATAGTGCCTTTCAAAATAAAAGTACACTTATAGGACGTGTGTCTGAAGTGCTGATGAACACTTTTTCTAAGTTGGTATAAAATTGTGTCTTAAGATAAAACTGTGTTTTAATGATTTTATCTATTAAAAAACACTTTTAAATGCAAGACTGAAAACGATTTAAACTGGTTTTTTTTGTAAAACTGTGTGCAAGATAAAACAGCGTTTTTAAAGAGCAAGTAAGGCCTAAATTAACTTTTTTTTGCTGATAACCTGTATAGATGAGCGTCTAATGGTGCTGTACACATGTGTAATCATTAGTGTGGCAGTATAGTGCAACTTACTTTAAATTTAATATTTCAGTCCAAAACCATATTTATATCTCCATCTTCAGGTTAAAACTCTGCTCCACAATCATGTAGAACCAGCTGTGGCTAATGGCTAAGCTGAAAAATGTGAGGTTGTCAGCAAATCACTACGTGACTGCACTTCACTGGTCTCCTGGTGAGGGCAGCCGTACCTCCACCTGGGTGCACGTTCATATTCACACCCACGATGCAACCAATCACCTGAGGTGCAGAAGCCTGTGCACAACCAGCTCATTCACAAAAGGAAAATACAAAACATGAATGGCTCCTACAAGAACCATGCAGGACGATTCTGTGTTTTCTAAACCCAGTCTCTCAGAGCCTTGTCACTTAAAAAATGTTCCCTGATTATGAATCTTTGGCTGAATAGCACTTGTTCCTGTCTCCAACACTGCGACACATCCTTGAGCCTGTCTGAGGAGAAGTCCAGAATTTCATATCCTCTTCAGCTCAGAAAGCGCCTATAGAGACATTTGATTACGCACAAGCAGGTAACCTGTTGTCATGTTCTGCGGGTGGAGGTGGCAGACCATGTGTGGTGGTGGGTTCCAGGAGGCAGATGAGCAGGCAGATGGATGTAAAAAATAAAAAGATGTTTATTGTAGGACGGGAGCAACAGGACGAACGAACATGCACAACGACAATGAACCGACAAAGACAACAACCAGGAGGGAGGTATAAATACACAAGGGAATCAGGAACATATTGGCAGAGTAATCAGGGACAGGTGAGAACAATAAGGCTAATCAGGGAAGGAGAGACACAGTCAGGGAGGCTGGGGCGGATCATGACAGTACCCCCCCCCCCCCCCCTTAAGGGGCGGATACCAGACACCCACAAGCCACAGAGCACAGGAGACACAGGGACGAACGAAGACCAGACTAGGGCACACAAGACCAGGGAACACGGAAGACGAGACCAGGGAACAAACACAGACCAGGGCTGCGGAGCAGGGGCCTCTAAGAGTAGGCGGCACTCCGTCTTACGACCAAACAGACGTGTCCACGAACTTAGACCAGGGAAACTCTGACTCGAAGACTTGGGACTCGAACACTTGACTTGGACACGAAGACTTGACTTGACCACGAAGACTTGACTTGACTTGACACGAAGACTTGACTTGACTTGACTTGGACACAAAGACTTGACTTGACCACGAAGACTTGACTTGGACACGAAGACTTGACTTGGACACGAAGACTTGACTTGGACACGAAGACTTGACTTGGACACGTAGACTTGACTTGGACACGTAGACTTGACTTGACACGTAGACTTGACTTGACTTGACACGTAGACTTGACTCCAGGAACACAGGACACCAGGAACACTGAGACAAAACTGCAGCAGCAGGCGTGAGACCCAGCAGGAACTGCAGCAGCAGGCTTAGGCCCCAGCAGGAACTGCCGCGTGGAGTACCTGCAGGCACAGAACCTGCAGGCGTGGACCAGGAAATGGTAGAGCAGCGGGAGCGACGCGTGGAAGCCCAGCTCGGCGGCAGGTACTCGACATCCCAATCAGAGCAGGTGCACATCCCGATCTGCTGGGTCCATCGGCGGAGGCTCGGGTGAAGGGAAGCCGGAGAAGAGCGGGGAGACCAGCCCTACCACACCGGAGAATAATGGCATGCGTAGGGGGTGTAGCTCCCTTGAGGCTCCAGGATCCACCGGAGAAGAGCGGGGAGACCAGCCCTACCACACCGGAGAATAATGGCGTGCGTAGGGGGTGTAGCTCCCTTGAGGCTCCAGGATCCGCGGCTTCAGGAGGAGAATGGGACGGGGCAAAAACAGCAGGTGGTGAATGACCCTGACCACCCCGAAGACAAAGTGGGATGCGCCAGAATCTCCCAGAGGACTTCGACCACCCCGAGAACAGGTAGGATGCGCCGAACACAAAAACTCCAGGCCAGAAATCACCCTCTGCTGAAAGGGAGAAAAAGAAAAAATAATCCTCCAGAAGCAGGTGTGTTAGCTCACCACAGGTCCAGGTTTGGTCGGTTCATTCTGTCATGTTCTGCGGGTGGAGGTGGCAGACCATGTGTGGTGGTGGGTTCCAGGAGGCAGAAGAGCAGGCAGACGGATGTAAAAAATAAAAAGATGTTTATTGTAGGACGGGAGCAACAGGACGAACGAACATGCACAACGACAATGAACCGACAAAGACAACAACCAGGAGGGAGGTATAAATACACAAGGGAATCAGGAACACATGGGCAGAGTAATCAGGGACAGGTGAGAACAATAAGGTTAATCAGGGCAGGAGAGACACAGTCAGGGAGGCTGGGGCAGATCATGACACCTGTTCAGGATTACGCAGACGATATTTAAATTTAGAATTGGCTACAGATAAAAAATGTATGCAGTAAAATAAAATACATTGTAATTAAATATTCATTAATTAGCTTACAAGCAGAGAGCCACATCAGATGGATGAAAGAGCCGACCTCTGGCCTTAGCCCTCCAGGGAGCCAGCTCCCCCACTGGCCCCAATAGGCACCTCTGTTCCCAAAATGCCACCCAGGGCATGGAGATCCCAGCCCATCTCGCCAGGGCCCAAAGCAGCAGCATTGCAGAGCCCCACTGAGTCCGAGGGTACCGTATGTCGATGGAGGGTACCAACCCAGCCCCACCCCCAGCAGAATATACTCACATTCCTGCATTTGCACAACCATCCAGGTAAGGTTGGGTCCTCCCCCTCCTGGACATCCCCCTCCCACGTGATGGGACAGAATTATTATTTCAGAGGAGCCAAGGTCCACCTGAGGCCTGGGCCAGGAGCCGCCGCATGTTCCCGCCGTCTTCCCAACAGGGGCCCCTCTCACAACTGCCAGTAGTCCACCCCTGAGGCAACCCAAGACTTGAGGTAGAATGATGTTGCGGAATCGGACAGATTTTGAGAAAGAAACCATTGAATATAGTGAAACTTTATTTAGAAATGCCCCATCAGATCAGGATGAATGGGAGGTGATGTATAAGAATTGCAAAGTACACAAGTGTGTTTATTCTTTTAAAGTATTTTTTAAATAAATAAAATCATTAAAAATGCAGTTTTATGTTACACACAATTTTACACAAAAAAACGTTTGAATCGTGTTCATTCTTTTAATTAAAAGGTATTTTTTAAATAGATCAAATCATTAAAAACAGTTTTATCTTGCACATAATTTTACAGAAAAATGTTTAAAACGTTTTCATTCTTTTAATTAAAAGTATTTTATGAATAGATAAAATCATTTAAAACGCAGTTTTATCTTGCACACTGTTTTACACAAACTTAGAAAAAGTGTTTATCAGCACGTTGGTTCAGACACATCGTCGAAGTACGCTTTTATTTTGAAAGGCAATCTCGAGCGAGGACACCGTAATTTCTTTTGTAGTTGCGCCTGTAAAAATCGAGGGAGGGCTGGCTTGACTGTCGTTTCCGAACGGAGGGCTGGCTCCACGGCAGTCAGTGGCGGTTCTACATCGAATTACTCCCCGGGCGAGGCCCCCTTTGAGCGCCCCCCCCCCCCCCCCACCACCACCACCACCACCCCACCTGCATGAACACACGCATGTTTTCTACAAACAGGCATGTTTTATTAGAACAACTATTGAACATTAATTTTTCTAAGTTGCACATATTTACAATGTAAATCACTATACATTATATACTGTATCAAAATATATAGAATCAACTATACAAAAACAAACAATAACTAAATATTAAGAATATATGAACATAATAGATAATAAATATTCTAAATAGCAAAAATATTTCACACATAACAAACTAAAGATAATCACTACAGCATTGCACTTAGAATAGAAAACACAAACTAAAATTAAAACCTAACCTTGATGCAACATCATCAATAATGTCATCACATGAAATCTGCTCCCCTACTGAGTGATTGATACTAATCAGAGCCAGGTTAGTGAGCCGCCCCTGAAACATAGGTGACCTCAGGCATGACTTGATCAAGTTTTGAAAAGCTCCTCTCAGCTTGAGCCACAGTGACTGGCAGAGCAGTCCAAAAGTTGGGGTAGATCTCCAATAGAGCTCATGATCCATAATATTTTAGAATTGCCTCTGAAATTGTAATTTAAACTGACATAAAAAACTGTAGATTACCAAAAATGCCAACTTTTACAGAACAAATCATGTAAAAAATAATCAGTGCAGCCATCTGCAATAAATAAACAGGATAGTTAGTGGTGACTGGGGTGTTTTCTTCAGCTTGTAGAATTGTTTTATTTATTATTATGTGAACATGATCAACATGTGTTTGTTGTTGTTCAGGCAGGCCACGGGCTGCAGTGAGCATTTAACAAATCCTAGTTTGAATCAGTAAAAAACGATTCAAGGACTTTTTTCAAACCATTTGAATATTTGTTTCAATATTTCAGCCCTATTAGCTCTGTTAGCAATTAGTTGACCGCATTTAACCGTTAAAATCCCAGTTAACTGGTTCAAATAACTGAAAACATGCATCATGAGAGCTACATACCTTTATCTTTCTCCTCTTTTTTCTTTTTTTCCCCCTGAATGGGGCACCTGGTGGTTTTAGCTTTTTTATGTTCATCTCTTCTGTTTGGCTCTTGACTCAATAAGTTTCCTTTAGTCAGGACTAAACAATTTGACCTTGATGGGGGGGTGACCACAAAATCATTTTGTTTTTCCTTTTTTTATTCGGCCATTTCACACAATTCAGAGAAACCTGAAAGAATGATAGGCCTGTGTTTATGATATTATGAATGAAATATGGAAGAACGTTAAGATGTGATTGACTTTAGCCATCTTAATACAGTTGATTCAGCCCCTACCCGCTCATTTATTTGGGAAAGACGCAGAGGTGAATTCCCCCGCCGCACCCCTCCCCTTCCTGTTCTTCATAGACACACGGAGCACGTGAACGTTCAGCGCCTGCAGCTGCAGGGGGCGCCAACTTGCTGTTTCCAATCCAGACACTGTCATATGACAGATAATAGAAAACCTCGGTGCGGCGCAGATTTCCTGTTTTTTTTTTTTTTTTACTCCGCGCTTGTGCGCCCCTTTTGTGTCATGAAAAAATGCCGCCCCGGGCAACTGCCCTGTCTGCCCGTGCCTAAAACCGCTACTGACGGCAGTGAATATTCCATGAAGATGGCAAATTAACAGGTACGTAACGTTTGGGTCTAGTTACGCTTACGTCACAGGATGACGTTATGTTTCACTCCCACTCTACGCGCAGTGGATGATGGGAGGAAAGGTCAGGAATCGATGGCTGAGTAAAATGAGAATTGGCGTCGTTAAGGGGATTGTTGCTCTGCGGAACTGACTGATTGCCATGATGGAGCTGCTCGGTTATTGTAAACAAACCCGATAATGGCCGCGCTCTGACATCCAGAGGAAAAGAGCAATCGTTTCAGATTTATTTTCCGAGTCAACACAGCAGGTCGCTTACATCGTTTGGCTCACGTCCGCCTTTTTATTGTTTCCGCCTTCGTTCTTCGGGCGCCCACCGGGGTCCGGACCGCCTGAGTGATGGTGTTCTGTCCGCTCCGGGAAGATGGATGAGAAATCCAACAGCAGTCATCAGCGGTTCCTGGTCGTGCTGCTCATGCTGTTGATCTTTGGCGTAATCATGATCCAGTATGTGTGCCCCAGTAAGTCCGAGTGCCAGATGCTACACCACCTGGGGTCATGGTTCACCATCGGCGGCCCACCTCGTCCTCGGATCGGCGACAATGAAATGCAAGACGGGCTTCAGAAGGATCCGTACATCGCAGAGGACGGAGCTCTGGCTCGATTCGTCCCTCGCTTCAACTTCACTAGAGCAGAACTTTATCGCGTTGTGGATTTCAACATGAAGGGAGATGATGTTATAGTGTTTCTGCACATCCAGAAGACAGGGGGCACAACCTTTGGCCGACACTTGGTGCGGAATATCAAGCTGGAGAGGCCATGTGAGTGTCACGCGGGTCAGAAGAAGTGTACGTGTTTTCGGCCTGGTAAGAAGGAAACCTGGCTCTTCTCTCGGTTCTCCACCGGCTGGAGCTGCGGGCTCCATGCAGACTGGACCGAGCTGACCAGCTGTGTCCCTTCACGCATGGGCTCCCAAGAGACTCATAAAACCCTGCCCAGGTAGGTGGATATAACAAGGAACGCAAAATATAACATGAATCTGCATGATTTATAGACAAAAAGCAACATTTACACAGGTAGGCTACACTGGAACAATACATGCATAAATAAATTGCCACGAGAGATCAACAGTTTTTTTTAAATGCATAAAAACATCACAATAAAACTTTTAACCTTCAAAACAGATTGGATAAAAGAACGCCCTCCAATAACGATCATTCCATATTGTGTTAGGCATCCAAACCAGCTAATATTTGTTTACAACACAATCAGCATGTGACTCATATCTGTTCCATCTTATCCAGATAAGATGATGATAAATAACCAAACACTGTTTTATCACAGAGCCGATTGAAAGCATTTCAGGATGACTAACTCAACATTTTCTTCTTATTTCCAGTAGGAACTATTACTATATAACAATCCTGAGAGATCCGGTGTCACGCTTCCTGAGTGAGTGGCGTCATGTGCAGCGAGGTGCTACATGGAAAGCATCCCTACACGTGTGCGATGGACGTTCACCCACGTTGTCAGAGCTGCCAAATTGTTATCCAGGAGATGATTGGTCAGGGTGCTCCCTGCAGGAGTTCATGGACTGTCCCTACAACCTGGCCAACAACCGTCAGACTCGCATGTTGGCTGACCTGAGTCTGGTGGGCTGCTACAATGTCTCTGCCATGAGTGAAGAGGAACGCTGGGCAGTTCTCCTGGAGAGCGCTAAACGCAACCTAGGAGGCATGGCCTTCTTTGGCCTGACCGAATACCAGCGTAAGACTCAGTACCTCTTTGAACGAACCTTCGACCTGACGTTCATCGCCCCCTTTACACAGCTGAACGGCACGCGCGCTTCCAGTGTTGAGGTACCTTCTGAGACACAGCACAGAATCCGCCAGCTGAACCAATGGGACGTGGAGCTGTATGAGTATGCCCGTGACCTTTTCCTGCAGCGCTTCCAGGTGGCGAGGCAGCAGGAGCGCAGGCAGGCCAGAGAAAGGCGACAACAGGAGAGGAGGCGTCTTCGTGGAAGGTTCGCAACGAAGCAGGGGAGGTGGCTGAAGCCCACTGAAACGCCACATGTGACAAACAGTTACGTAAACGAGGAGCATCAGAAGACAACGGGGAACAGTGTGGAGTCAGAGGTGCTCCTGGAGGACTGGTGGGATCTTGAGGAGAACAGCACCATGGAGGATTACACAGACAACGTAGAACAGTGGTAGCAGGAGGCCTGTCTTATCAAGTGTGCCAAGTTTTGCCTTTTTTGTTTTCACTAATTCAGGTTGAGCATAGGCCTTCTTTCCACCCCACTATAAACCCATTTTAGAGAACACCTTAATTTATTGAAACTTACTATGTCTTTTTTAAAGCTGATGTTCTACTTTATGTGTATTTATGTTTATGTTTATTTATTTGGCAGATGCTTTTATCCAAAGCGACTTACAATTTATAACCTGTAGGGCATGTTGTGATCTGTGGGGGAAACCTGAGTACCCGGAGGAAACCCACGCATGCATGGAGAGAACACGCAACTCCACGCAGAAAGGTTGCAGCCGAGTTTCGAACCTGCAACCTTTGTGCTGCGAGACAACAGTGCTAACTACTGCGCCACCATGCAGCCACTTTGTTTACTTTGTTCCATTTGTTGAGAACAGACACAACTTTCCTACCTTTCACTGGAAACAAGCCTTTAACATTCTTCTTTTGGTCTTGAACTCACATGGCTTAAAATAGGATTATCTTCTGTTAGGACAAACTGTTTAATGCAGTTCATCTATGTTACACTACTTTTTGTGATGACTTTTTGTGATGAACTGTCTAAGTTTGCCAAATTATTTTACTGTTTGAAACAGAAGTTTGAAATGCACTTGTTTTTTTAAGTGTCTTTTAAAATCATAAGAAAGGAAAATTGAGTTTTCATTTATACCTCACTGTGTAGCATTAACATCACAATGATGCAAAGTCATTAAGTTTGTCTGGTTTTTATATAAAATAATTTTACACTTATTTAATTTCCACTGTCACATTTCTTTCATACAGTACCCATTTTGTAGAACACTTGCAATCATGCAAAAGACCAGCAGGGGGGGCTGAAGTTTCTTTAATGAAACAACGTTTTATGACTATGTAGGCAAACCTTGAATTCAGTTGAGCAGGATTGGGGCAGTGTTTCCTACTCCTACTCCAGATTAATTAAACCGATCATTAGATGCTCCTAAATTCAAAAAAACAAGCAAGTAAATTTTAATTTAGGTTATCAACCTACAGTACAGGACAAAAGTTTGGACACACCGTCTCATTCAATGTGTTGTCTTTATTTTCATGACCATTTACATTGGTAGATTCTCACTGAGGGCATTAAAACTATGAATTAACACATGTGGAGTTATGTACTTAACCCAAAAGGTGAAATAACCAAAAACATGTTTTATATTCTATTTTATTCAAAATAGCCACCCTTTGCTCTGATTACTGCTTTGCACACACTATTCTCTTAATGAGCTTCAAGAGGTAGTCATCTGAAATGGTTCTCCAACAGCCTTGAAGGAGTTCCCAGAGGTGTTTAGCACTTGTTGGCCTCTTTGTAAATGGTCATAGTCATGAACATAAAGAAAGCACATTGAATGAGAAGGTGTGTCCCAACTTTTGGCCTGTGCTGTATACTTTATACATAAAAACTACTCGCCTATTAGCTGAAGTGACAAACCTAATTCTTACAAGTAAAATGTATTGTTGCACCTCACTCAGAATATGTCTAGAGAAAAAATGTCAAGTTTGATTAGTTATGTGTATTAGACAAATATAACATTTTCAAAAGTAAAGCTATACCAAATATCAACCATCATTTTGATTTTTAAATAGATTAAATACATTCGTACACTTAAATTAACCTTTTATTTTTCGCTATCAAGTCTGCCTTTTATATTTCTTGTTTGAGTTTGGACTACTGAGAATGTAATTTTTCTGAGGAACGTTATTACTTACGTCTAAAAGAAAGTAATTTATTAAATTGAAGTGTGGGTTGATTATATACAACGGCCTACTACACCTTTTTAATGAAGTCACATATTAACTCTGTGTGAGCTGTAATTTCAATATTTAACTAATATTTTAAATAACCAATGCTTATCTTTTTATTATTAAATGTTTATAAAATCAAAGTGTCACAACTAGTGACTTTAGAAAAAGACAACAGTCACAACTTTATTCTTCTCACTTTGATTTAAATATGAAAATCCACGAACCGGAAGACGACTTTTTACAGAGAGAAAAAAATAAAACGATTAAAGCCATCAGAAGGTAAGTGCAAATTAATCATTTTAACACATAATATTGATGTTTATTTGAAAAATGTAAAACTTCTAAGATATTTGCCCTCAACAAAAATTTCAACTTACTATTTCAGTACATTTTAAAGTTAATGTGGCAAAGAGGAGAAACGAGGGCCCAGGCGGGATACGATCCCCAGATTCCCGGGTGAGAGCCACGCGCGCTAACCAGTCAGCCAAAGAAACAATCCCTTTGGCAACGCCAGGGGCGCATCACCAATCGGGACACTGACAGGACGTCCACACTGCCACATTAGCTAACTTAGCTTTAGCCTAGCTAAAGTCTTTACATTTTAATAAAGTTCAACAAAGAATTTTTTTTCTCTCACAAAATTACACGAATAAGTCGCATATAATGATAAAAACAATCTAATTACTTCTAGTCTGGTTACTTCACACCAGTACATTTTAAGCTATCAGCTTTCCACCGTTAAGCTAATTAAAGTCGCTGTGTATGCTAATTTACGCACATTTGGGGTTGTCCATCCGCAGCCATACCTTTTTGTCGTGACTCATTTTCCTGGATGGTTACACCTTAATAAAATGAGGCGCTCCCTGTTCAACTCCTCCCATTTTATCTAACCCTCCCTCTGAGTGCTTTTTCCTCTAATGTCTTATCTGCTCTGAGTGCAGTCTGTTTTGCTGCCGATCTAATGTAGGTGCCGCAAATATTTCAGCTGCAGACCCCCGCTTCTTGCTGCTGCGTCTTATTTCTAGCTTGCACGTTTTATTTTCCACCCTCTCGCTCCAGTGTTGTGCTGATTGCAGTTACCCAAGACAAAAAGGAAGTACGATCCAAGAAACATTTCAGTCGAAAGCATTTGATCCGTTTGGACTAATAACAGGTAAGAGTGATTTTTCTGTGTTCTTAATTCAACCCTTTGAACAGGTTGGCTCTGAGTTTTCTATGTAATCCATTTCGCACCTATTTAATACGCTGCTGCTGCTGCTGCCTGTTGCATAAACGCGCAAAAGCTGGCTGTTAAAGAAGGGTGTAGCACGCACCAGCAAAAAAATCACCAACAGCGCTCCCATTTAACATACTCTGTAAAGCTCTGACAGGGTTTTTCTCCTCTATCTGGATACAGATGACGTAAGCAGGTGCCATATTCTAGAAAACGAAATTTATTTTATTTTTTGACATTTAATATAACAAAAGATATCTTCGCAATTAGGTTTTGTTTCGACACAAACTGTGTTTGTTGTCTTGTTGGAGGGTCAAGTGCGAACACGCTGTCATAAATGACCTTTTGAGTCACTTAAAAATTTATTAACATTTAGTCAATAACAAAGTGAAAGATAAAAATACCTGCAGGTTGTTGCAGGTTTGCATGGTTTTGTGTGCGTGCATGCATGCATGCTGTGAGTTTGGAGGTCTTGTCCTTGTTTGTCCTTTGCGGGGTCAAGCCAGCATGCCATGTTGTGTTGTCATCACCTATTTACACTTACTGATTGCAGTCCTAGTGGATGCATAGCCATTATCTCATCTCCTTTAACAATGCAGCCAGTCAAGACAAGTTCACCCTTCAGGCTTTGGACTCTGTACCAGTCAGGCTAGTTTTTCTTTACTTAATATAAACACAGACAAACTGACACACACACACATTTCCCACATAACTAGTTTTTACTTCCTGTTTCTCACAGCCTGTAATTTTTTTAAAGGTCAAGTTAAGACTTTCATCAACACTGTAGCAGAATTCACAAATTAAGTGTTTATCTGACTATTTGTGGGAGATTTAGTTATTTCAGTGTGGTCAAATTTTTATCTGGCATCAGGGAAGAGTACTTTGGACTTCACATGAACACAAATACAAACTCTGTGCGCCATTAACACTTTGTTCCTTTTTTTAAACCGTCCAAGCGTAATGTTTTCATTTAGGTTTTTATGATAAAACTAGCAGTAATATGGTTGTTTAAAATAGAGTTGTGGTGCTTTAATGAGCCGAAGGGATTACTCATACTTAACCTAATTACTTGGATGCTGATTTTCACTCACATTGTGATTTATGGATTGGTTTCCTGATGCTTTTAAATCAATCACCTGGTCGTTGATGCTTGACGGTTGTGCAGTCATTCTTGTCACTTCTCCTAAAAGAGTTGTCTGTGGCTAGTAAGCTGTGACACAGAGGATTTAGACAGATTTGAGTTGTGTTTTCTCAGCTTTAGTTCTTATACAACCTGTGCATTTAAAATGGGAATTTATTGTTTTTGGAACTACAGTAAAAATCAGAAAAACAGTCTTACACGGGAAACTCTCAGATTCTCATGTGAAACTAATCTGAAACACAGATCTAGGCTTTTCTAAAAAATTGTATTCTCACTGGCTTTTTTCTGTTTTTTGACAATTTTTTTCTCCATAATCAAATCATCATTTCTAAATGTTCTGAACAAAAATCTGTTCATGCAAAAAGCAAACCAACCTCATTTAAAATTTTTTGTAAAATAATATGTAACAATCTTCTTTATACTAAGTTTTTTTCTGTAGGAAACAAAATTTTGCAGCCTTGCACACTCTAAGAAAAGAAACGTTGATTTTACTTAACCAATTTCTATCCACTGGTTCCACTAAACCTAGTTGCTTAAATGTAAAGAGTAATATACATGTTGTCATGTTAAGAGTAAATATATTTTATTCTTTGCATTTAAGCAAGTTAGTGGAACCAGTTGACATTACGTGGCTAAAAACCAAGCTCACAGAAACTGTTTTCTACTTATTATTTTTGAAACACTCTTGAGTTTCACATGCAGGCTAAATGTCAAAATGGTCTTCTACCCCATTTCCTCCATTAGCTGTTTAATGAAAATAGACGGGGAAACAGTCGGGTTAGAAAACGCAGATCTACGTCACACTGTAAATTTTCATTCATGGACTCACCCATCTTGGCTTTGACCGCGGAAGATTGAGTTGGCTTTTGCAGCCAGGAGAGAGCAAAGCACGTCTCAGCTCTTAGGAGCTAACTGTTAGCATTAGCAACTCCACAACATGGCAGAACTCCTTCAGGCTTGTGGTATATTTGGAGATAAAACATCAGTGTTGCAGAGCAAATTGAGTCAATGGTAGAAAAGGGTTGCTGTTAGCCAATCGGAGGAAAGATGTTCAAATATAATTAATAATAATGAGTTAGACTCCAAATCCCACTGTTTTCTGCTCACCTTTGCTCCAACTAACTTCTACCTCCTGAAACAGGAGTGTGACTGCATTTTTTTTCCTACAGAGATCAACTCACAAGGCATTCATTTATATTGGAGACCACAACAATTGTACCACAATATGTAATAAGTTTTTCATTAATTTCTTCTTATTCTTTTATCAACTATTGCTTTGTAAAGTCTTTAAAATCCATTTGACCTTTTATTTAAAACTCAAGTTCAAAATAAATGCAAAAATGAAACAAGCTAATTTCTCTAACCATTCAATTTTAGGTGAGATTAACAGGCCACAACAATCTGTTTATGTTCTTACAATAAAGAACAAAGGAGAAGAACAAGCAGTTGATCTCTGTGGCTAATCGTGTTTCTGCAGCAGAAGGTCACCCATAGTGTGGAGCGACTATACAGTAGGTGTAAGGCAGCCTGTCGAGGTGGCGCTCAGCCTGCACAATAATGCAGACATCAGAGCTCAGCTCAAGGTTACACCGTCGGAGGCCCTTTTGGTGCACTGTGTTTGATGGGGACGCAGTGCGCTTGTGCCAGCCTCATTTGTTCTTATCTGTCCTCTTTGAGCCTGTCCTACCCACATGTTGACCCCACCTATTAGCAAAGAGCCTCGTATCACCTGGAGGATATTTGATGTTTCTCTACAATCTATTTCTTAAGAAACTTTACAAATGTGTTTTACAATTAACTTTAGACACAACCATGACAACTCTATATGGCTTCAAGAAAATTTGGCTATGAACATCAAACTGTATCTGCTGACCTTTGTTTACAGAAGATTTTAACTTTAGCTCTTAATGATTGAAATTTGGAATGATTGGTAAGGACTTGTGTTGATTTCATCTGTCACTACTATTAGGGGTTTCACATATGGTACCGCTCGGCCCACCCTGCATTGCATATATTGTTTTCCTACCTGGGTGGCCTGGTACTTTCCCCTCTCCTAACGGGCGTTTCGTTGGCCATTATCCTGGTGGTCCACTCAGGGCTGGCCTGGGCCAACACGCCTCCATGACTGATTGGATCGAATCAAACATCTGAATGGATAGAATCAGTGCTTAATTTGAGCCGGCTCTTGCCAGAACAAGATCTGGGAACTGTCTTATTTTGAAAGGACCGTTCCGGTAACTGTCTGCTAGGATCCGGCAACTCATGCGACCAACTTGTGCTACACGCAGGATTCGAATCATGGGTGAGGTATTCCGGCTCACCCCAAAGGATGATGCTCCCCTGGAAGCCCTCAGCTTACACACCCAGGGAGAGCCCAAAACGATCCTGGTTCTACTTATTTTACATTATTTATGTGGACTCTCCGGTATTATTTAGAGCTGAGAGGCGCAGAGCTCTTACGCGCTCCAGACAGATGCATCCTGAGCACGGCCACAGTAACATTCTCAAAGTGTCGCCACCTCAAAAACAAATTTAACACCCAATCGTTCATGTCATATCATATCCTTTATTGTTTTCTGTCTTTTATTTGTTCCTGATGTGTTTTGCTCATCGACATAAATACTGGACAATTCAATTCCATAGGCTCCAACAACAAGTTTTTGAGGCCAAATGGGAGGTGGCCACCGCCGCCATTTTAACCGTGTCACAGGTTCCGTCAAGCCCAGACAATTCCACAAAAGGGAAGAGAGGTGGAGCTGAGGGTGGGGCTGTAAGGCTGGGATCAACTGACGACACCCGGTCGAACTAGCTACAAGCTAACCTGAAGCTAACCCAAAGCTAATGCGGAGGTGGGAACTAAGCTAACGGTGGTAGCAACCTAGCTACAACCGGAGTTAACTGTGCACAACACCAGAGCTTCTGAGTCAGAGATACGCCGGGCTGACCGCTGGGCAAAACCGGGTGGAACACAGAGGTCTCTGAGACCTCCACAAGCCGGCAGCCGCACAGCAGACAAGCGCTGCTGCGATCTGAGATGCGCAGAAATGCCGCTGGGGAGAACCGGGTGGAAAGGTTTCCATCCCAGAGCTCCACAAGCCGTCAGCCCGCACAGCAGACAGAAGCCGCGATCAGACAGAGATGCGCCGAGCTGCGGGGAGGGGAGAACGGGTGGAAAACATCGGTCTCGCGAGAGCTCCACAAGCCGATAGTCGGAACCCAGCTCCACCAACATGTTATATTTCAACCCATTTTCTAAAGTGCAGCATTATGTTAAATGCACTGGGGTTTACCCTATTACATTTAAATTTCATGGTTAAACAGTACATGTTAAAATCTAAGCTCAGCTCGGCAGTGACCTAAAATACATAAATATAATTTTACTTACCGAAAAAAATGAAGTGGAGACTCCTTGGACGCTCTATTAGTGCAATTAATGCCATAGCAAGTCATTTTGTCCAACAATTGCACAAAAAATATCCAAAAAAGAATACACAAACACAGAGATTCAAAATCCCGGAGCAGTTTCCAAGCCAGACCGAGGCTCTACTGAGGCCTTTCCACGGAGCTAGCTCTGTGGTCACGTGGGTCTGATGCTCATTAATTATACAGAATTTTGGGCTTTTACTACACTTAAACAGAAGAGTGAGAAAAAAATTCACCCCCCTCAGAGTTGTCATGAGTGTAAACTAGATCATTTAAACCAAAAACATGTTTTGGTACCAGGCTGTAAACATGTTTATTTCTGATGTGAAATTGGTATTTTTAACATGGGAGTCGATGAGGATTTGCTCGCTTCTGACACCAGCCCCCAGCGGATGAGGGTGGAACTGCAATTTTTGGTATTTCCGGGTTGGCCTCAATTTTTGAGCCGCATTGTGGGGGCTTGGTTTTGCTGCTGCGGAGCGCATCACCCGTTTTGTCCTCCAGTGATTTCACCTGCCGGCGCAGCTGGCGTGCAGCGCGTACTCCGCTATTTTTGCGGTCGGATAACTGCACTTCAAAGGTAACTCATAATGGGAAAAATATGAAGCTTTCTTTAGGATTGAGAGGAGATGCAGTGAGATAGTAAACAGACAGGACTGAAAAATAGTCAAATAAAAACAAGTTCGTGTTTGTACCTGGCGGTTGCTGCAACAACCATTGAAAATAATCAGAAGTGAGGAACAGAAAATGAAATTATTCTTTCAATGTTTAGAGCAGCAGAAACTCTGAGGCTGCAGGAACACCAGAGAGTTTGCGGCCGCTGCGCAGGGATGAGGGGGAGAGGGTTGGAGGGTTGAAGCAGGGGAACAGTAAAGATGCAAAAACTACCGTTGTTGAAAGAAATGTGTGTTAACTTGACAATGTGGGCGCAATTCTTAATTGTCAAAAACTCCAGCGAACCAACTGGACCGGACCCCCATCCCCATCTGGTTTGCTTTTAGCGAACTTTGGTTTCACGTCACTTATTTGCGTTCCGGGAACGTTTCATTTACAAATTGAGCACTGGATAGAATCAACCAGCGGGGCTTTCCACATGCGCAGTTCATTAACATTAATTACCGCCACACCCAAATTTCCTGGTTTGGAGCCTTACAAAAAGCCATAAAACTGAGGAAAATTTCCAGCAACACCATAATTTTTCTGCTGAGCTGTGTTTCTGTGTAGCGTACAGATCACCTTACACTGTTCACTCATCACTTCATTCTATTTTTGTGTGGAGTAGAGATTGGAGAGTAGAGAGGAGTAAGATTGCCCCACCCCTACGGACTTCTACACACACACACACACACACACACACACACACACACACACACACACACACACACACACACACACACACACACACACACGGCCGGACGTTTCCGTGCATCCATTGCCTCGCCCACGTGCTCAGAGTTTTCCCTGTTCCTGAGAAATGTGTGGGAACAAACCCTACCTGTGCGGGACCTGGACTGACACCACCCAGCCCGGTCCGTGCTGGCCCAGATGTGAAACCCTGACCTTTATTTACAGAATATTTTAACTTCAGCTCTTGATTGAAATTTGGAATGATTGGTAAGAACTTGTGTCCTTTTAATCTGTCACTAAAGAAGATGTGTTCTATGGCGCTCTACACAACAGGGTCAATACAAGAAAAGTCTGGGAATGTCTTTTAAGCTCATCTCTGTCCAGACTTTTTGGTTCTGTTTTTAAAAAGATTGTCCAAACATTTCATTACAACATTGTCATTCCCAGTGAATAAACCCTAAATTAATGGTGCTTTTTTATTTTTAAATGGGACATATGCCATTTTTCAGAAGTTATAATAGTCTAATGGGCTTTGCAAAACATTTTAAAGTTTTTTGGATAAATTCTCTCCCACATGAAGTGATTTAATCTGTTTTTCTTGACTGTTTCAGGCCTCTGTCACTTTAAGAAAAGTTTTGGTCCCCTTTTGTGACATCACAATTAAAATTAACATTCTGACAAACATTTTAGACATTTTCAATCATTTGATGCATTTATATCTTATTAAAACACTTGTAGTTACTTGAACAATCAGTTTTAGGTGGCTTGTGGTTTAAAGTCAAGGTCAGCGAAATTGATTAAATGTGTTTATAATGCTAATGATTAAATGCTAACTTGCTAACCAAATGTTCCGAGCTTGGCAAACATACATTTGCTTAATATGAGCATGTTGGCATTGTCATTGGAGAATCATGTTTGTATTTGCCTCAAGCTCAAATGACTGCAGGTCAAACCTGCCGAAACCATATCCAAGCTTATTTACTCATTCTTCCATTGATTCAGAGCACCTTTAGCTTAGTGTGCAATTACAACCCTCTGTCCTTTTTCGTGTTCATGTATTTCCAAATTCACTGGTATTGCAGGGACAGTTTATGAGTTAATTTCTTTATGAATCTCACTTTCTGGCCTGAGAAAGGCCATAAACATGTAGGAAGCACTCGTGTCTTGCTACATTTACGTGGCTCATTCATTAAAAAAGTGAATGAGTTTTCCTGATTTATTCTAGTGTCCATTAAACCTTTGATAAAGATTACTAAACTTAATGACCTTAAAAAATTGGTAAAATTGGTGAAATTCTTGTTAAACCAGCATTGACCCATAAAGCATCCAATGTGCATTTACCAGCAAGTGAAATGCTGCTCCTGTTATGTCCAAAGGTACCGGTTGCAGTATAAACTATAGCTTTGGAGGACAGCCAGCATTGCTACATATTTTTTCTAGAGTGGTTGTAATGGCAGCTGTGCGCCATTTGGTGTCTGGAGTGTTGCTAAGGAGCGTTTTGATGATGTAGGCTGCATATTGCCTTGTCAGGGTGTGCGTAAGCACAGGGCTCTTAACACTGACGTGGACGTAAAATGCAGGACAGGCAACGCTGCAGGAGGAGTGCTTGTCTCAGACCTCCCTCCCTCCCCACTCCCCGGATAAAAGTTTGTATTGATCTGTAGGCTTGGAAGAAAAGGATGCACAGACAAGCATAATGGTTAAGCAAGCAAAGCAGCCGTAGCGACTCATTTCTCTCTCCTGCTACTTTGTTGGCCTGGTCTGTCTTTGTTCCCGCTTTTATAACCAAGTGTGCTCATTAAGTCCCACATCTTCCTTATTTCTCTGCTGCAGTGTTGTCCTCCTGGGCTCTGTATTTGCATGCCGTCACACATACACAAATACACACACGTACACTACTGCGCCCCCCCCCCCCCTCCCCCATTGTTTTCTCCGTCTGTGTCTGCCACCATCAGACAGAGGGACTGATAAAATCTGTTCCAATGCCCTCTCCTCCTGTTTTTTTCCACTCCCTCTCTCCTTCATGTTGCCTATGTAGTTACATTTATGTGCATGAGCAGGTGTTCCGCTGAACAATATTGTTTCATTCGAAAATGTGGCTAAATCATAGTTTTCTGCCCTGTCTTGTTATCTGTATTCACATAGTGTGTGGACACGTCACTCTGCTCCCCGAGTGTGAGCTGAACAGCAGGTTGCATGCATCATCCTTGCATCATACTGCAGTATGTCTCCCACACCAGTAACCCTTCAGCGTCTGTGAGAAGGAGCTGTCTGGAGTCAGCTCACGGCCATCGCACCGTTTAGACATTAGCATGTGGCTTATATGACTTCCATGACTGCGTTTGCACCAGTCAAAGTGAGGGAAACAAGGACATGCTCTGTGAAGGGAGGAGCTGCATTTTACCGTGCGCTGTTATTGGTCAGAGTTACGTTCTGCTTTCCTGTAAACCTCTGTCTGATTGGTTTCTGCTTTACATTGAGCATGGCAGCTGCAGTTGGGAAGACCTGCCCCTTCTTTTCTCTGCCTTTTCATACCTTTTCTGTTCACATTAATAACTGTCTGAGAGCCCACTGCATCACATGTGCTGACCTATCCCAGCTCAAGGATGCCAGTTTTTTTTTTCTAGTGAATAACCACGTAAAGTTTCCTAATTACTTTCTGCTGGATAGCGTGCAGGGGGGCTGGAGTGACGTCTCGCCTGCAATCTCCCTCCATCCCCTCTCTCTCTCTCCCTCTCCTCTGTATCACTTAATCAAGACATGGCTTTCCCTTTCCTGTTCATTGCTGCCTCCCTCCCTCCTGCTCTCCTACATGTTTGCCCTCGCTCACTTCTCTGGCTGTATTCCTTCCACCTTCCTGCAGCGTGATCTTCAGCCACCCTTAAAAGACGTTCTACACAAGGTTGTTGCTTTTGCGGCGACGGTTTCCAGTCAAAAGAGTAGTTTTGTTAACACCTGTCTGTTTTCACAATTCACAGCAAGACGAGCAAGGACACGCAGCAGAGAGGTCAGCGAAGAGGATGACAGCCGAGGAATAGAGCGCGGTGAAGGAGGTTGAGGAACAGACGGAAGTAAGAGAAGGACCTGGAACTCCAAAAGTGCCTACCGTAAGGTTTCTTCCTACGAGTCTGCTGGATTACAGCGGGAGAGGGTTCAGTGTTTGTTTGGCCCTGAAAGGAGGCTATATTTTGTCCTGACACAGTCATCCATCCCATGTTGCTGAGCTGCGGTCCCGACATACCCTGAGCCAAGCTACAGCTTTGTCTCATCTTTCCAGAGTCATCACAGTGTGAGGTTCTGCTTTTTGGGCCCCCCACTCTTTGTCAGGTTGTACATATGCAACCATAACCGAGCCACAGTGACTGCTCCAGGCCTGACCATGTTGACATGAATGTGAATAAATCTCACAGTGGCTGTCAGCTTATTACAAGTGAGTTTACAGACATATCTGGATAGATCACAGTGATGTCTTTGGAGTAGTTTTCTCTTTTTTGTTATCTTTTTTGAGGCAGAGCTGGCCTCTGCTCATAGTTAATCTCCAGAGAAACTTCAGCAGACACTTTCTTGAGAAGAACTAATAAACATCTCCAAAATTACACCAAACAGAAGGACTCTGACTGTTTGCACTAGAGAAAAAAAGATTTTTTGCATCTTTTTCCTTTAATTTTTTATTTTGTTGAATCACCATTAGTCACCCTTGATCTGGTTGGGCATTTTTCCATCTATTTGTTCCAACCTCAGCTTGGTGTTTGTGAGCGTCTCAGATGGCTGTCAACATGACCATGGGACGAGACACCAAATGGCTGACCTTGGAAGTGTGTCGTGAGTTTCAGAGAGGCACCTGCTCACGGTCTGATTCAGAGTGTAAGTTTGCACATCCCTCACGGAGCTGCCATGTGGAGAATGGTCGAGTCATCGCCTGCTTTGATTCACTCAAGGTAACAATGCCACAGACATAACACACATCTGTTTCTGCTGTTTTACAATGTTCTCTATGATACATGTCAGCTTTGTGCTGCTTTTTGTCAATATATGTGAGGTTTCACCTCCTTTATGACACTTCCTGATGTTGTTTAAAGATCAAGTTTTCTCATATTTTTAATACATTTGCAGTGGTCTCTAGTAGGAATGAATGTGATGCAAGTCGTTTTCTGGGGGGGGAAAGCTCTGGTGCACCAATTTGAGGACATAAGACAGCCGTAAGAGAAAGTTTCTTTAGACGGCTGGATTTGGAGCCTTATTACCTGATATTTAGACATCTGGTCTCAGATTGGATAACAGCAACACAACTATACCGCTGACTCCAATTACTTTGCAATGTTTATGTTATATCTCCACAAATAACACAAGTCTGGATGAGTTCTGCTGTGTGGTGGAGTTGCTCTACTTTCTCTGCTGTCTCCTGGATGTTAACAAACAACAGCCTTCCCCATCAAAAATAGTCTCCTACTCCTATCTCCTGCATTAGTTTCTGATAGAAAATAGATGGCGAAACTCCAGGATTTGAAAAGCCTGACAGGTCTGTGTCACACTGTCAGTTAACATTCATGGACTCACCCATCTTGACTCATGACAAGGAAGGCTTTTGTTGGTTTAGCGTCCAGGAAACAGCATAGAACATCTAGGCTAGTAGAAGCTAACCGTTAGCATTAGCAACTCCACCTCACAGCAAAACAAGGGTGTGTTATTTGTGGAGATAAAACATCAATGTTGCAAAGTAAACAAAGTTATGGTAGACTGTTGTTAGCCAATCAGAGGCGAGATTAAAATATCAGGAAATAAGACTCCAAAACCTGCCATCTGAAGCTACTTTCTGCTCCAGCTGAATTTTCCATGCTGATATAGGTGCTTCTGTGCTGTGCGCCCCTCCTGAGTACGATTTACAAGGCAGTCACTCCTACTAGAGACCATTGCAAATGCATTGATTAAATGAGTGTACCACACCTTTAAAGCAACTTGTCTATCAGAAGAGGAGTTTATTGTAAAATGATCATGTTAGAAACCTGAAACCGCTCAGGCCTTCTACCAACTGTTTTATCATCATCAGAATTGTTTCACCAGTGCACGCTGTCTATTTTGGTATTAAGAAGAAAAGGACAATATATTATTACAACAAGTGTGATGTCTGAGTCAGATCATGTCCTAGAACTATTTTTGAATTATTGTGAATTTCCAGCTCGTCGTCTTAAGGAGCTTTCAAACCAAAGCTTAATCCCAACAACAAAAGTCCACTAATGTGGTAACTAAATGTAAACAGCAGTGTGGATGATATTTTAATTGATAAGCGATCAGACAAATTAATCGCACTGACAAAATCTTTCTTTGGATGATCAAAACAATATTTGAATTTTGTGAGGATCGTTGTGGTATTCCTTGTTTTTGCGAGCTAAAACGGGAACAATTCTGAATTTGAAAGCTAAAATCTTTTATCTCTTCTTACTGCTGTGTAAGACCATTTGTTTATTTCAAGCTGAAAAACACAAATGAAAGTAGGTTTTGGTGATTTCAGTCCCAGATTAATAATAGGGAGTAGTGTTGTGGTGGAAGCAGGTCTCTGTATGGTCTTTTTAATGTTCTCCTCTCCGCTGTCTCCAGTTTCTACCTGACCTTTGGAGTGAGTTTGAACATGTGTGGTTGTTATTCTCGCATGTCTTTGGGTTGGCCCTGATATGGACAAATGATCTTTCCAGGATGTGCCAAGAGGCAGGTTTCTAAGAATCCTAGACAAGATAAAGTTGCTTGGAAAAATAAATTGATTAATTGATGTGAAACGGAAATTTGCTGGCTCTAATTTAGGAAGACGCTTCATAAATAAAGCTTTGATTTGATTTTTATTCTTTGTAAGTAAATGCTGCTAGCTTCATGTTTTATGGTCCAAAAGTTTAAGCTTTATCATTTCTTTTCCCTCTACATTTTAACTGCGAGCACGTTTTGGAACATTATTAGGTTCTTACTAGGGAGTATTGGTCGATATTGGCATTAAAACATAATATCAGAAATTATCAGTAATAGGTTTTTATTATTTTAATGACACAACCTTTCTATAACATGCACATATTATACATCAAAGTCTCCAGCTACCTTTCCTCTTACGCATCCATCCATTTTCAGCCGCTTATCCAGAGTTGGGTCATGGGGGCAGCAACCTAAGCAAATAGGCACAGACTTCCCTCTCCCCAGCTACTTGGGCCAATTTCTCCAGGAGAATCCTAAGGTGTTTCCTGGCCAGGCGAGAAACAAAGTCCCTCCAGAAAATGGCATCATGAATATTCATGATGTGTGAAGATCTCACCTCTGACTGGCTAAAAGCAACACAACTCTTCCACTGCCTCCATTTGCTTCTTTCTTGGATAAAAAAAATACAATGCTGATGTTTTATCTCCACAAATAACACAAGGCTGAAGTAGTGGTGTCATGTTGTGGAGTTGCTAATGCTAATGGTTAGCTTCTAGTAGTCGTGACATGCTCTACTCTCTCCTGGTTGCAAAAATCAACACATCCTTTAGTGATCGCGATCCAAGGTGGGTGTGTCCATGAATGCTAATTTTCCCTGTGACGTAGGAGAGACTGGCTTTTACTGACCCTGTTGTTTTCCTGTTCATTTTCGTTCTGCAGCTAATGCAGGCGAAAGGGGACACCTTTCACGCTCAGCATGTATATGCAACTCAGAGTGACCGATCATATTCCAAAAAGAACAAGTATTACACAGTTTCTCAGTGAACAAGACCTTTAATCATTTAAATCTGCACCACAGCAAACTGACAGGAAACCATCACTCAACCGGCTTGAAATGTGTTCAACAGATTATCTCATCTTTTCTCTGTGAGGCGACAGCCCCGCCTTCACACTGTACATGCATTTCCTTTGAGTTTTTACATTCTGGCATAAATAACTCGTTTCTGTTTATGCTTACTTTAAACATAACTATTTTTGTTATGCTGTCATCAGTTAGTTTGTTGAGGCATCCATTACCAAATGACTGTTTACCTTTTTCCCAGTTAAAGAAAATATATTACTTGAGCTGGGAACATTTCTAAAGCACAAAAGAAGTTACATTTTTAATAATCTGTCCCCTCTATAACAGTAAAATGCTTATTGATATTATTGTTATGTAGCTTGTTATTGTTCTAGCTTTCATTTGGCAGAAGTGTAACCTGCTGATGCTCTGTTCCTCGGTCTCTGCTGATGTGGGCCAGTTGTTCGTGCTGCTTCACCAACACTGCTGCGGCTCTCCTGACTTTTATACGGTCTCCCCCTGAGCAGAACCACACCATCAGCACTGTGTGCATACACGGACGAAGAGCAGTCCGAGGACTGATGATGCTTCACTGCATTTTAAAGGAACTTCGCTAATCAATGACCATTTATACCAAAATCAAAACAGACAGTGGACGTGCGTCCGCGCTTGTGGAAGATTTTGCTCCAAAGCTTTTCTGTAGCAAAGAAGTGAGTCCTAGACAAGGAGCTTTCTGTCTGAGTGCAGCTGCTGTCTCCTCGCTTATTGAGTTAGAATTTATTATTCAGCCATTTTTCTGTGTTATGTCCTACAGAGCAGGGGGAGATGGAGACGAGAGAGACAGAGAGACGGGGCCTAGCAACAGCACAGGAGTGCCTACCCATTGGATAGTTTGATCTATCTGAGTGGCATGGCTGTTTTTAGCACAGAGCAACAGCCTGGCTCTGCACTGGTCGTGTAGAGGGGAGCTGGATATTTGCAAAAGGCAGTGAGGAACCATTAAAAGATCATGTGAAATAATCTGATAGAGAAATGACGTTTGTATCAGCTGAAGGTCGAAGCCATTTATCCACAAGGGCGTAGCAGCGCCGTAGTGTCAGCACAGTAAACAATATCTCCTTACACCTGTGCCTTTAGCCGGAGTGTGTTTGATGTTTACACTCAGCTGATGTTGTATTTGGTCAGCTGACCTGTAGCACTAACACTCTGTCCCCCACAGAGCTACTGCTCAGCATCACTCCTTCCTGCTTCCCTCCCCCACACCTCCATCCTTTGTTAATTTTATGGATTTATCTGCTAATGGCTCTCTCCCTATATCTAGCATCTTCAGGCCGACACACCATCCGATGTCCTTCCCTGCTGCTCCTCCATTAGCGCTGTCTGCTCAGTTTGAATAGGCTGCAGAGAAGGGAGGGGTTGCCACTCTTTACCTTGTTAACCGAAGTGCTGCTGTCATCTCATATGATTAGTGTGGACATCACATACATGCACATCACCCAACAGTTGATTAAATTGCAATTTCATATTTCGTAGACATTGGTGTGGAGCAGAAACTGAGAATACTTCTTGCACATTTATTGTTCCCCTCTTTTTGTGTGGATTTTTGTTTTTAAAGTGTATTTTTTTAATTGAAATGCAACAATTTGGAGGTTGGAACCTGCAAAATGTATTGGAATGTTTATTATGTGAAGTGCCTTGAGACGACTCTGGCCGGGATTTGGCGCTATATAAATAAACTTGAATTGAATTTAAATGAAAAATCATGGACTACTTAATTGGGCTTCTTGTGACAATGATAAAAAAAGGCAGACACACTATGCATATTTGCTCATGTTTGTGTATTCAATTGTACTCCGAAATAGATTGAAAGAGCCCATACACAGAGCCTGCTCCTGACTAAAAACACAAAGTTACCAGGATGTTGAACACAGCTGTGTGACGTGCAGCATTGCGGATCTCTTCAGAAATCATATTTATTAATGTCCCAGCTTTCTTTTCTGCGGGAGTGTGGACTTTCTCTGTGTTGCATAGTGTGTTGCTTCGGCAACCAAAAGGAGATTCCTGACCTCTCCTCAGCACCGCTTTCCATTTGTCTCCTCCTGTATCCTAGTTTTAAGCCTCTATAGCAGCGCTTCAGTTGCATTCATGCTCATGCTACCAAATTACAAATTCAGAGTTGGGATTAGTTTTAGATCATGTTTATCATAAAGTAAACCTACATTAGGTGTTTTTTTAATCCATCTGAGTTGGAACAGGAGTGCTGGGCTCATGGGACTCAGTCCTCATTATGAACTCATCCCTAAACACACAGCCTGCTGACGCAAAGCTTGCTCACATCTTCGGCGTGAGCCGAGTGGTTGCTTGTATTAACCCCTGTGCCCCTGCAGACCTGATTTCCGATGGCTGCATGTTCACCTGTGTGTTTTTTGTGTGAAGGATGTGTGTGAGGAAACTGGCCATAAAGGCTTGTTTTATGTTATATGGCTCTCATTCTGCCAGCCCTTTTTTATGTGTTTCCATCTCAGCACGTTATTTATCACAGTCGGAGTGTCTGTAATATGACACCGATTTGTCATCAGACCACTTCATTTTTCCTCTGCCTAAGTGCAGCCTGCTCCCCTAGTGCTGGTTGTGTTGTGGGGTAGAACAGAACGATCTCGTCTGGAGGGTTAGACGGCTGCTGTCGGCCCACAGGTTTATGGAATACTGCAGATGACCTGCAGTGTGTCTTTGTGTCCCTCTTGTCTGAAAAGAAGACTTTTTACAAAATGCGGTGAACTTCAAAGCTATTCTTTCATCTGATTTTGTTGGCTTGCAACAAATTATCCTTATTTGGAAAAACTAGAATTTACCCTTTGTATGCCTTTTTTGTGTTTGTCCTTAATGGGCTCCTGTAGTAACATAGTGCAATAAAAATGAGGTTTATAAATAAAGTTATACCAGTTTATCTGCATGTGTTACATGCTATGTAGTGTTCTTTAGACAGATTCCCAGCATTAAGTGCACTCTGTTTTATACTTTGAGCTTGTTTTCTGTCTTTCTTAGTCCAACAGGTTTTCTGTAGTTGTTTTTGTTTGAAGTTACATCCACCAGGTGGGATTACATGACCAGTCACACCAAGTGGTGGGAGTTTACCAGATGTTTCCACTTTTATTTATCTCTCAAGTAGATTTTTCTGTTGTGGCAAAGTGGAAAAATCTCAAGGTGACTCAAATGTTGTTGAATAGTTTAATGCTGACCCAAAATTCAAAAAGCCGAGTTCGGAAGATCAGATTCTAATTTGACTAAAACATTTCAGCTAAAGGTTAAATTTGACTTCCCCTCAATTTATGGAAGGAGACTACTGAAATCAAAACCCACCTTTGAATGGTCTGGTTGCATTTTGTGTGTGTGTGTGTGTGTACATGTTGTCACCCTGCTCTGTCCCGTCTCTTCTTCAGGGTCGCTGCACACGAGAGAACTGTAAATACCTGCACCCACCCCCACACCTGAAAACACAGCTGGAGATTAACGGGAGAAACAACCTGATCCAGCAGAAGGCTGCAGCCGCCATGTTGGCTCAACAGATGCCATTCATGCTGCCTGGAGCACAACTGCAGCCAATAGTGAGCAGTTTGCAGTTTGATCTAGGATGCCTCACCTCATTAAAGCAGTTCAAAGAAATATATTTAAATAGATTTTTATGCTTTTTAATGATGTAACAAACACAACCTTTTTATTTGATTCATTTCATGCCACAAACTCCTGGTTGTTCAGTCATATTTTGACATTTATTTTCATTTAATAAAGTTACATTTTGTTAAAACAATCAATTTAATGCAACAGTTTTTCAACATTATTCAACCTCCAGCCTTATTTATTGCTTAACTATTGTTCTTGTTGACATTTGCTCTGTTACTGTGGTCTCTTTTATTCAGACAACATTTCCTGTGACCCCCTCTCTGGCAACAAGTCCTAGCATGGCCTTCAGTCCATATCTCAGCCACATGGGCCCAGCTATGGGTCTGATGCCTGAGCTGCTTACCAGCACTCCCCTACTTGTCCCTGGGAGTCCCACCGGCATGGCAGCAATGGGGAATGGCACCTCTGCACAAAAACACACACGCACAGACAAGCTAGAGGTATGCAGCCCGTGTGCTGCTGTGGCGTTTCTATGTTTAGTCCAAGTATGATGAGAGGTAGATGTTGACCAGTGTTCCCATTGGCCTTGCCAGGTTTGTCGAGAATTCCAGCGTGGTAACTGCACGCGGGGCGAGAACGAGTGCCGCTACGCTCACCCTCTGGAGGCCAGCATGGTGGACTGCAGCGAGAACTCAGTCATTGTCTGCATGGACTACATAAAAGGCCGCTGCAGCCGGGACAAGTGCAAGTACTTCCACCCACCGGCTCACCTGCAGGCCCGGATCAAGGCCTCACAGCACCAAGCCAGTCAAAACACAGCATCCGCACCCTTGGTGAGTCGTCCTTGGGGGCATTCACTCTGAGCCATGTTCATATCTGTAGGGATGAACATGGATTTGTGAGGCTTCCTTTAGGAAATGTTTGTAATGAACACCCATCACTGAGCTGTGAAGCAAGTGGGGATCAGCTGTAATGTGGTTTTATTTTAACGGTTACAATGAGAAGATTGAAAACATAAAAGGATAAAAGATAAATGTTCATTCCTTAGTTGTTATTTAAATTTTTAGAAAAGTCAACTGCTGCTGGTTTTACTGTATTTTGTATATTCACCAGTGGCCCAAAACTATAACTCTAATGAATCGTTATGCTGCAGAAAACTATGAACAATCTGGCTGTTAGCTTCAGAAGACCTATCTTCCTAAAATTCCTTCCAGATGCTTTAGATCTTTTGTTCATGACTGAGACAAACGATCTCCCAGGGCTCACACGTTAGCAAAATGTTTGTTTTATTAACGCGGTTCAAGGTTGCAACTTGTTTATTTCAGTTTTTCAAAGTACGTTTTAAATTATTCTTTACATTTTGAGCAGAGATCTTGATGCATAAACATGTCTGAGTCTGTCTGGTACTTCATGTAGTTAAAATTAATTTTGTTATATTCTGCTGCAGATTAATGTTTCAGCACTGTCCCTGTTTTATAAATAAACCATAGCACTCTTTTGCTCTTTGCCTGACCTTTGAGCTTTCCTTCTGCCTTCTAGAACATTTTTCACTCAGCAGCGCCCTCTTGTGGTTGTAAACACATAATTAGGTTTGTGATTAAAACCTGAAGGCCTCCAACATAAACTTTATTTTCACGCTAAAGTAGCTTCAGAAATCTTTTTTTGCATCTACGTTACACCATTTGTTGTTGAGAGATGCTATTTTCTTTTATTTTTTCTTTATATTCCATTTCTCCTGCTGGTCAGGCTTTGCCTCCAGGCGCGGCGCAGACACTACCAAAAAGGCCGGTCCTAGAGAAGAGCAATGGCGCTGCTGCCACAGTTTACAACCCTAGCATGTTTCACTACCAGCAAGCTCTGGCTAACGTGCAGCTCCATCAACCAGCCTTTTTCCCATCTGGTGAGTCTCTAAATGTAATCTCAGTTCATGGTTGGAGATATCTCTGCATGAATAAAAGCATAGTTTGTCAGACTGTGAGGATGAGGTGGCAATTATATATGTTTTTCTCCTCACACTTCTCTTTCTTCTATTGTCTCTCGTGTTTCCCTCATTTGAACCATCTGAGCCTGCTGAGTGATGAGTTGTCGAGACCCCAAACATGGTTATGACTGTTTTTTAAAGCAACAACACAGTGTTTTTGGTACTTTCATTATTAGGATAGTGGTTGTCAGCTTATCACTCTCTGTCAGACCATGGGTGCACATTTCGTTCAAACACAGTATCACCACAGAGAGCCAGTGTCTCCTCATCTAAAACAGAGAGGAAGGGTTGCTGTCACAATTAAAGAGAAGATTAAGATCAGAAACAACTAAGATGAAAGGTGGAAACATTTACTGTATAAAAATGTAGTCCTCAGGAACAGGAAGTCCCTGTTTAAAGCTGAAACTAGCAGATGTTCCCCTTTTTGTCGGATTAAAAACGTTTGATCTCAATCACAACGTTAAGATCTGATGGTGCCAGCTAACAGCTGTACTTGGCTCCTGGCAGATAGCAGAGTGACTGGTGGTATGTTATCAGTCCTACTGTGAAACTCCTCTATAGCTCGGCTTCACTGCGTGGCGGGTTGGCGTTTTTTCAGTCCCAATTATAAAAACGGTCCACACAACCGACCTGGACCACGCCATTGATGGCACTTTTGGGGCTCCCTCCAGTTGTAGGTCTATAGTAAAAGGTATCGGAATGGTTAGGGCGGAGCAACAACACAGTCCACTGACTGGGGGACAGAAACACGTCACTACCTGCAACAAGCGAAACAAACCCCGGTGTTCCATTGTTTGTATTTTCAATAGTTGTACATGGATGTGAGAAAAGGCCGGCAAATAGCAGCAGGTTTTGGTCGGCTAGGCCCAAACATTCCTCACCATCGTCGGCGATAGCCGCATTCAGGACAATCTAGGCGGAAAGTAGTGAAAGTAAAAAAAAAAACATTTCTTATCAGATGGCAACTGAAGGATTCAAGCAGACGTCGGAACAGTGTCGGGCCAAGCTGCAGAAATTAAAAGCCTAATATAGAAGAGTTAAGCACAGCAACAGCTGGAGTAGAAATGGGAGAATACATGGAGGTGGTACCATGTACTGAGAACAATTTATGGCCACAGACTGGCAAACCAAGGCAGGCCTGGACTCGGCAATCACGAGTCACATGTAGAGCCTGTCGGTAAGCATTTCTTTGTTTTGTCTTTTAACAATGCAGACCATTAATTGCAGCACAAAAATACTAAATAGTTACACAACTTATTTATTAAATTTCACATGATGTCAACAGTACGTTTAACCCTACCTGCCAAGTGAGAGGCCAAACAGGCAAGCCTCACCTATGTCAGTGCACCCCAGGGCAGCTGTGGCCACATCGTAGCTCATCTCCACCAACGCGTGATTGGGTGCATGACTGATTGTGTTGTGAAGTGCCTTGAGGGGCTGTAGAACCCTCAGAAGGTGCTACACAAATACAGGCCATTTACCAAACTGTGATTGAAACGTTCCCCTGAAATTGCAGACCCCTACTGGTCCCCGCCGGTTCACAATGACCCGCCCCGCCTCATTCCGAACCGTGCGGTGGAACCGAGGCTCTAGTCGAGAAATCTAAACCAACTGTGTTAGCAGTAAATTATTTTGCTCTTCAGGTCGGTCTAGCAATGTTCCATTGTAGCCTCAACAGCTACAGTTGGCTCAGCTAAGTTTTGGCTGAGCCAACCACAGCACCTTGTTTGTTTTTGTGTGGCCTTTGCACCAGAACTGAGTCGGAGGAAAACTGGAAAGACGGCATCGGCTCAGGAATGGCGCATGTTTGAAACTGTGTTGGTATCAACTTTGGACGATTTCGACTGCATGAAAGACACAAGCACATCCGATATGCATCTTCGTCTTCTTCGATGGTGTATGGCGGACTGCCCTGTTGACTGATTTTCATCACTATGAATAAGTTACATTGTTCTTTACTCTGATTGGCCCTATTGCTGTCCATTTGCGTACAGAGACAGTATTTATTTGTATTTATCAGGGACTGTAGATTAATCGTAATAAAAATAAAACCCGAGAAAGCTCTGATAAACTACAGTAAACATTGATAGTAATAACAATGCCATTGACGTATTTGAAGGAAACATGAAATAAGGCCAGTATGAGACAGTAAAAAGTCAAGTATTTAGCACATAGACTTACTGTTGCTTTACAATATTTACTCTTCTGGATCATTTCCTTTCATACACATTCTCAGTTCATTAAATACAATTGTCAGATACCCCAGTCTGATTAGATTGTATGGTTGTGTCTTTGTTGGTGAGCAAAGCATTTTCTCTTACTCCATAACTGGGTAGCTAATGAGAAATGAGCTTTTCTTTCTCTGATTTCGTTTGCATGTCTCCTGTTATCTTTTTCTGTTCATGTATCACTCGACTTGTGCCATGATTTTTTAACTTTAAACATTTTGCCATGGTAACCATATCATTCCTGTCCCCCTCCCTCCCTCCTCCTCCTTCCTGCCCACATCCTCCTCCTCTTGTCTTTTGTCTGACTCGCCTGAATTAAAGTTCCCATGATGCACGGTGCCACCTCCTCCACTGTTTCGTCGGCCTCGACCCCAGTCACCAATGTTCCTTTTGCTGAATCTGCAGCTTCCAATCAGGTTTGCTCTTTCATTTCAGTTCTTTTTTATTTTTATTTTAGCTCCGTAGGTCGTGGTCTTTTTTTTTTTTTTTTTTTTTTTTTGTTGGTCGATAAATTCATCTGCTTGTAGTTTATTATGTTTTCATTTCATCCATCATCACTTTCAGTATTTTTGTCACATGAGCAAATGAAAGCTACATAGGAGAAAGGAAACAGTGTTTAATTTAAATATCTGACTTTTCAATAACACCTTATTTGTCTCAGTCTTTTGCTGTTTAAGCTAAGGCCCTTCAGGGTTTAGTGCAAACTTACTCAGATGTATGAAGCTGTTGCTCTGAGTGACAAAACTATTCAGATCACCATCTAGCCTGGCAAGCCAAACTTTGCAAAGCAAGAATTTGGTCTAGTTCACTAGGCTAATCACCATCTGTGGTTGTTCCACCTTATTGAGGTATGGGTAAACTAAGTGATCCAACAGAGACGCCTCCTGGTTGCATACGGTACTACACTAACATCTTATAGTTTTTTCAAGGAGTCAGATTTTCTTGTAAACCTGTCTAAGTGGTCTCTATCAGCATGTTTTCCTCTGAGCTTTGGCTACTTTCCCCTCATTTTCAGACATTCTTTTGTTTTTAAACCACTTAACACTGACCCTTGGATCATTCGAATCTAAAAATTTAGTGTTTGTGTAAATCATTACCTTTGTTAAGGATGAACCAACATTGTGTCAACACCACATTAAAGCCTCTGTCTGTGCGCCCTAGGGCAGCTGTGGCTACATTGTAGCTCATCGCCATCAGTGTGTGAATGAGTGTGTGAATGGATGATTGATGCACTGTAGTGTAAAGCGCTTTGGAGTCCTTACTCTGAGAGGCGCTATACAAGTGCGGGGCATTTATCATTTAAAGAACAAGTTTTATTAGTAGCAGTCTGTCATATGTCCATATCCTGTCTCAAAAAACATATTTTTTTCATTTGTTATAACACATTGTAACATAAAATGGTATTTTACCACCAACACACTGATTCCCAAGGAGCTATTGGCTGAAAACTTTACATGCAATAAATGGCAAACTAAAGTGGGTTTGCATGGGTCTACAATTAACTGGCGTCTAATTTTGAAAGTGCATTGATTTTATTAAAGTCCTTCAAAATGTGTGAAACTTGTTACTAAAAGTTATTACATTACAATGACATGTACGTTTATGAGATGAGGTAGTAAAATATAAATATGTTTAGTGTAAATTTAGTGTTTGTGTAAATCATTACCTTTGTTAAGGTGCAGGGAGATTCTGGAAGATCACAGAGGAAGTGGTTGGAAAGTGCTAGAATTAGATTTTGACAAACAAGGGTAGACTTAACAGGAGTACAGGTGTGCGGAGGTGATGTGTTTCTGGGTTAATGTGTGGATCTTCTTATTATTTTTGGGCTTTTAAATATTGAGTTTTTGTTTTTGAAATGTATGGTGTGTGTGCGTGTGCGTGTGTGTGTGTGTGTGTGTGTGTGTGTGTGTGTGTGTGTGTGTGTGTGTGTGTGTGCGTGTGCGTGTGCGTGTGTGTGTGTGTGTGTGTGTGTGTGCAGAGGAGCCCCCAGAGAAGAATAGCAGCTGTTTTACAGCAGCTAATAGGGATTTTAATAAACAAACAAACAAACATGTTTTACTTTTTATAAAACACTAAAACAAATCCACATAATCGTTGATGGAGCATTATCTGGACCGTGTGTACAGATTTTAAAAGACACAAATTTGACATCCTGCTTATACTGAAATTCAGCAATTTCCTCAGTTAAGCTCGCAGACCAGCGCTGTCACGATCAGGTGCAAAGTCTTGTGTAAAAATACACCTTACAAGACTTCCAGAAAGTCAGGTTGATGGAGACCACATTAAGGGATTATAAAAACAGTCAGGATTATTGGAGACAAAATATCACGAAATGACAGGCTAGAACAGAATTATCTGCTTTAAGTTTAATAAAAATAAAAGAAAGCTATCGCACTAGAGTCGTGTATTAGCCTTCTCTGTTCTGTCTGTCTGTCTGTCTAATCTGACAGATCTAATGATAATTTACAAATTGAAATTTCTCTCCCCACCTCCTCCTCCTCTTCCTCTCTGTCTGCCTCCTCTTTCTTTCAGTAGATCCTTCAGAGATTCTGACCTCCGACCCAGTGGAGCTCCAGTGCGTTCCCATGGAAACTCATTTCTGCTCCATCCCCAAGCTGCTGGTGTCAGCTCCAGTGGCTCTAAACTCAGTAAGCCTTTCACGAAACCCCAGTTAAAGTTCTTAAAACCCTGCAGCGCTGCAGCAAACGCGTGCCTCGCCCACAGTACACACCAACTCAGTGGCAGAGACTTCTGTAGAGAGAGAGAGACTGTTCATGCAATACAAGCCTGGAATTATTTCTGCTGCTTTACGGCAGCCATCCCAGTGCAAAGAGACCTTATGAGCAATAGAGCTCCCTTGTTCTGACAGCCATACATGATCACACACACACACACACACACACACACACACACACACACACACACACACACACACACACACACACACACACACACACACACACACTCACACACATTAAAGACTAAATGCCCTTTACAGGTTGCAGCCATGACATGAAGCAGATTTTATGGTTCCATCATCAGAAAAAGTTCTTTCTGGAAACACAAACTGACCTGCTGCTGTCGAAAACCATAACCTGTTGTTTAAGTGTTTTAAACACAACAAACATGTATGTTGTACTGTGTACTTCATCACTGAGTTTGTTCTCCTGGTCTCATCCTGCCTGATGATGTATCAGGAAGTTCATTTGTTTGTGCCTTTCTGTTTCTTTTCCTTCAAAAAGAGTAAGCTTGTTTTCCAAGATTATTTAACAGAAAAATGTGGGCATGTTATTTGCAATTAAAGGTTTTACTGATCATAGGTTTCTAATGGATTCACGAATAGCTTTTAATGAAGGAATACGTTATCAAATTGTATTTCTTGTGTTGTGGTAATGTAGGAGGATGGAAATCAGTTTTTCCTTGTTTATTTCTGGGTCGTAGCGTGTTATAACAGGGATGTATTCACTTTTAGTTCAAGGGGATGAATGTGGGCTTGTTTGTTAAGGTGGTGGTTCTTATTTTTATTTTGAGAAACGATGATTAAACAAGCAAACTGCCTTAAAGCAGTTGGAGCCGTTTTCTTCATGTGACAGTTTGTGTCTTCAGAAACTGCTCAGGTATTAAAAGTAATGAGTTTGAGCAGGGATGTAATTCTTCTTTGGTTTGTGATGGGTAATTGTTCAAATAGAGTTTGTTGATACATTCTTTTCAAATCTTCAATACACCTTAAAGAGCAAGTCAACCTCAAATAAAAAATTTTGCTGATAAACTGCATAAATGAGTGTCTAATAGTGCAGTAGACATGTGTAGTATTTTTTGGGCCTTTTGATGCATCTTATTTAAAGAGATACTTTCTAATTTTTCCATATATTTAAATAATTTCCTTGAACCAGTATGCACTAAAATGACCCTTTACAGGGTTAACGAAAGGCCCCCCAGCCACTATCGCCCCCTGTGGCCAGAATATTCCACTTGCAACTTCAGAGTACCAGTCTGGTCTGTTGGGACTTAGAAAAATAAATTCAGATGACATACCTGGCGCTGCAGTCCCATTCCTATTAAAATAATTTTAAAAAATCAACCTAAATCCTTCATTATTGTGCCCTCTTCAGGTTAGACTTGTTGTTGTTTATGTTGTTTATGTGCTTAGCAGACGCTTTTTCCCAAAGCGATTTACAATTTTTTTTTAACCTATAGGGCATGTTGTGATAAAAAAAAATGCACTACATTGAATTTGAATCAGCCATTGGTTCCTTGTGACCTTGCCTGCATTACTCTGCTTCACTGAACTGGACTGCAGCAGAGTCTTGGCAATGCTTCTAGCTGGCTCGGGCCACTCACAAGCTGATACTAAACAATAAGGCTCAGGGCAGCTCGCCTCCTTCAAAGAAAGCTTCCTCCTGTCTTTCCTCTTGTCAAGGTAGACAGGAACCCTACTGGCGAATGGGGTCAGTCACCATCCCAGCGCTGCTCTCCCGATTCACCCGGCCACACCTCCTTTCAGCGCATTTTTCAAGCAGGTGCAGGCGCAGTGTGTATTTTATAATCCCACTGTTTTGTGCCATGGATTTCACATATGATGTTCGTGAATTTTAACCCTCCCACTGTCCTAATGGGTGTGATCCTGTGAGGAAAGTTAACCATTGAGCAGGGCTGATGGTCTATCCCTTGGGTCCATGTGGCAGGGGTGAGGAGTGAGCACCACCTCACCCCTGCCACACGGACCTCAAGGAATAAACCATCAATCCTGCTCAATGGTCAACTTTCCTCGCGGGGTCACTCATAAAGACAGTGGGAGGGTTAAAGAAGCATTTTGATACCAATAACTCACTTATTTTCGAACAGGGAGAAACTCTATTTTAGGTTTCGTGTGAAAATAAGTCCAGGACTACAAATGCGCATCACGAAAGTGACGTCATCAAACCAGACATGGAGAAAACTGAGGAAAAATGGCTGTAAATTCAGCAAACTTCCCACAGGAGGAAAGAACCTCCATAAATCTGGTCATTTGTTAAGAATAGCAGCTATGCTAGGGGAGAGGAGATTATGTGGTGATGTCACATATGCAACGTGCCAATTTCTGGTGTGTAGTCATGCTAATTACAAACTTTTACAAGCTGATAAATCTCAAAGTACGTGGCTGGCATAGTTGAAACACCCATCATTACTTTTCATTGAAATTGCAGTACAACATATGTGTGATCCAGGACGTAAGGCAATGCGGATTAGAAAACAGCGTTTTTAGCCTCGTTGACTTGTGTTCATTTTTTCGTTCTTCCAGGGACCCATGAGCCGACCATAAAGGGAGGAGACTTAGGCTCCCTATACATAAGACACCCCATGGACTGGTGCTACTTATTGGAGCTGGTGTAATAGCGAGCCGCCATCTCGGATGGGTTCCCATTTGGCCCATTGCATTTATTTCTACTGAGGAAAGTGTTTACCCAATTTAAAAAAAAATACTTTTTATTCTGCTCTTTCGCTAAATCAGACATGTGACATGACAAGATGGTTAAAATATAAAAATAATTAAATTAAACAAATGACATTAAAATATAAAACCCCAACAGGTAGGCTAAAAAAGTTAATAATAATCCTACGTGATCTGTTTCCAATGATGCACCAGTTGTTGCAACCGTAGGCTGCACAGAAAACTGCATCGTTACCCACCCTGTGTTGACTCCAGTTTGAGAGTGAGGAACCCACCCAATATGGCAGTGACGCTGTTACGCTCTCCAGTGCCCAATAGACGCGCATTCAAGTTTATAAAGTAAGAAAGGTTGGGGGTGACTTGCTCTTTAAATGATCTGAAAACTAAACTATATTCCTGAATCATTTTCTTGAATTACAAACATTTAAAACTGGCTCCACTTTTTTCTGGATTCATTTCCTAATGTTGTGCCTAAAGTATGCCGGATATGCAAGAAGTTTTTCCATTTATTGCAATACTTCAACAATTCCTCTAAATAATTTTTAATCTCAAACAGAGATCAGTTTTTAAACAAAAATGACATCTTTATTCAGGCTGAGTAAGGAAACGATACAAGATTCATGTTGAACGGCTCTTCAGGGAGAAATCTGAGAACTTGAAAATGTCCTGTCTGAAGTTTTTATGCGTCATCTTTTCTACTGCTGCATTGTTTTTGTCAGAAGTCATCTGACTTTGAATAATGAAGTAACAGCTGTTGTGTCCAGAAAGTTAAAAAAAAGAGAGGAATCCAAACTTCTAACAAGGAACTGCTTTGTTTGTGTAGAACTGAAGTCTGAAAACTGGGCTGAAATCACTTTAATCCAAATTCAAATGTGCCTCTTTCAAGTCTCCTTAAACCACCACTGTCATCACACTGTAAATACTGATGCTCAAAGATCCATCTTTCATTTAGTTCCTCATCAAGGTAATAAAAAATGTTTCTCAGAGGCAGCTGTGCTGTCTTATTGTTGATTTAGAATATAAATAATCCTGTGGGGTGTGTGTCCCAAGTGTGTACACCGAGAAGATGGATTTTATTGTTTTAAAATGCTGCAGATATTCCAGCATATTCCACTCAACATTACTCTCTTTTAATGATGTTAATATTTTGTGAATGTATCTAATGCAAAAACCACACATGCCCCTCTGAAAGACAGGCATGCTGAAATGTAATAACTCACTGTACAAAAACCTTCAGAGTACCATGATGATACTGTGCTAAGATGTATAAAGGTGTGTGTGTTGTTATATAGATTTCTATTTAATGTCAATAGTTGGTGTGACTACTTATAGAAATATTTTTCACTTTGAGAAGAATTAGACCAGAAATGTACCCTTATAGGTATAAATGTACACCGTTTAGGTACGTGGAGAATTGTTTATAGACCAGTTGAAGCAGGTGGACCTGAAAACCCTTTATCAGTAGGAGGAATGCACTCCCCTCTAAACTTTATGTCTGCAGACTGATTCATTTAGGCCTAAACAGTTTAATTTCTGTCTGTAGACTCTGCTAAACTCACGTGTCAGAAATACTAACATACATGTGTGCACAAACACTCAGATCTTTACAATGTTACGGTGCGATAATTAATTTTTACTCCGCTTGTTGAAACTGAAAACAATTTTGGGGGGAAAAAATAGTAGAGATTTGTTTGCATATTTGAGTTTATTTATTTATTTTTTTGCCCAACAACTTGTAAAATAAGCCCTAACTGAGAAATAATCAAAAATAAAGGGACAAGCCTCCAGCTATGATGCTAGCGAGTACTAGTGCTCAATAATATAAATCAGTAGAAATTAGGGATGGACCGATTTATCGGTTGACCAATATATTGAGCCGATTTTTTTTATTTTTTTTTACATAGCATCAGCCGATTTACCTCTTTAAAGCCAATTTAAAGTCAGGCAATTGTGCGGGCAGTCTGGTGCTTCTGCAGAATTATATTTAAATGTATATTTACGTTCCTAAAGCTGCAGCTGTTACACACCTGCTTAGACTCTATCAAAACCTGGATGGCTGGGAGCTTTCTTCAGCAGAATGAAGATAAGACTGAGATCCTCATCTGTGCCCCAGACAAGCTGGTTCCCAAAGTCAGAGACTCTCTTGGTCAGCTTGCTTCTCACACCAAACCTTCCGTCAGGAATCTTGGCGTGACCTTTGACCCAGCTCTCACCTTGGATTCTCATGTCAATTCTCTTGTTCGCTCTTCCTTTTTCCATCTCAGGAACATTGCTAAGCTGAGTCCCATTCTGTCCCGCTCTGAACTTGAGACAGTTCTCCACACCTTCATCTCCTCACGCTTAGACTACTGTAACTCTCTTTTCACGTGTCTGAGCAGAACCTCCCTGAACCGTCTACAGGTGGTTCAGAATGCCTGTGCTCGGCTTCTGACCAAGTCCTCCAAACACACCCACATCACCCCGCTTCTCCTCCAGCTTCACAACTTCAGGGTTCATTTCAAGATCCTGGTTCTGGTCTATAGGGCCTTACATGGACAAGCACCATCTTACAATGGTGATCTTCTTAGTCCCTACACCCCCAGCAGGTCCCTGAGGTCCAGTGATCAAAGCCTACTGGTTGTGCAGCACCAGGCTAAAGACCAAAGGTGACAGATCATTTGCTGCTGTGGTCCCCAGACTCTGGACCTCTCTCCCCCTGAGCCTGAGATCAGTGGACTCAGTGGTCTCCTTCAAAAAGCAGCTGAAGACTCACTTGTTCAAGCTGGCTTTTGTATGACCTTCTTCACCACTCTCTCTTTATTCTGCTCTCCCTACCTATTCCGCCTTCCTCAGGATCCACTGATTTCCCTCTTTCCTATTCACCCTCTCTCTGGAACAGAGGAGAAATTAGTTAAATAATACAAAAGTACAACTTTATCACCACACTGAACAATAATTTTGCAGAAACAAGACACATCTGAGAACAGCAGATCTATTTTTGGCACTGTTGCTAGGCAACCGGCATTTTAATTTGATACTTTAGGCCTTTGAGGATTGAAGTTTTAACAAAACACTAAAATGTCTCAAAGACAAGATGCTTTTGTAGTCTGGTTCAAAAGTGCTTCAGTTTAATTAGAAACCTGTATGAATGCCTGTTAAATTTATAAATAAACTATCCCATTATAAAGACTGTGATGTTCCGATAAAAATGGGCTTTACTGGTGTGAAAGATGAGACCCGCTCCTTTAACCCCTCTGACATCTGATGGATTACTCTGTTTGACTTCTGCCCAGTGGGGATGATATTAATCTGCATTCCTTGAGGCCAATAAAGTAATTAGATTAATCTACCTAAATGCTTTTAAAAAGATTGTGGCATGGTCTATTTTGTGGCTTACTTCCCCCCTCATACTGTTAAAGTTGTTATTTATTTAGGCCTGTTTATATTTATGTAGAACCAACTGTGATAGTCGTGTTCTCATTATTTAGCATGTTCACATTTATTCCGTCCTGAGAATATAATATAGGCCTTATTTCTGAAACAGTGTATAGATGTGGTAGCTATGAAAAACGACATTATCGTAATAAACTGTTTTTAGACATTAAAACAAGGCATGAAGATAAATAAAAACAAATTATATTTATTAGTTTGTCTCTAGACCAACAGAAACTAATTATACACATCTGGGTTGTTAATGGTAATTGCTGCTATGACAGCATTACAACATGTCTACCTTTCTATTATCCTTGCATAATTTCTTTCTCCTAAACACAAACATCACAGTAACTTATTTAAAAAGGGGAATGTCTGATTATTTCTCATTAAAACATCATGAGTGGATATTTTACGAGAGAATCTTCAGAACCTCGTGGGTTGGGTCAAATGTTTTGTTATTTTTTTGCTTGGCTGACCATAAATGGAAAAACACCCCGTTAATTGTGTTCTTAATGCAAAGACAGGGTTCTTGAAGTTAATACTTGACAGTCAGTGAGGTAGAGAGGCTTTTGCATGAACTGAAACATCGTCTTTGTTTCCTCTTAAGTCAGACTAGTTCTCCTGCAGAACAGAAACCTGTTTCAGTTTTGGGCCCAAAGTTGCGGTCCATCTCAGAACCCAGCTGTGCTGGGTGATGTCAGTCCTGGCTGAGGTGTATACGAATGTGTAACCTTCACCTTGTTTGCACTTATGTACATAAAATATGTTAAAATACTCTAAATTTATTTTGAATAAACAGATAAAAGAGATGATTGGAAAAAAAACACTGTATTGTTGACATGTCAGCTGTTTAATCACCATGTGGAAAGATTGCTTGCTGGTATCTGTTCTCATGTTTTTGTGTTAATGAGGACACTTTGCTTAGATTGCTTTTGACATTTTTTTAAGTTAAGTTTCATTTATTGTTAGATGAAGACACAGACATATAAAGTGGTGGATTAAAACAGATTTAATAAACCAGTGCTGACTTTGTCTGATAAATCCTCATAAATTACCAAAATAAAAGCACAGAGGTACCCCACCTGCAGGCTGAAAGAAGCAGAAGTCAATTCAGACCTGAATGTGCATGCTAGATTCCTCCACAGCATTTTAAACTTTTGCTCCTTATTTCTAATAATTCTTTAGAGTTATAGTTGAAACAATTTATTAGCATAGTTTTTTTAGTTTTGATCTTGTAGCAACATTTCTACACAGATCGGTCCCAGCAGAAGATGACAGGATTCTCTCTGGCGGTTTTTAAATCTCGTTTAAAGACCCACTCTTACGCTTTGGCTTTTAGACAGTGACTCGTTTTAGTGTTTTATTGTATCATTGTTTTAATGTGTTCTTAGTATTCATCATGTTTTATCTGCTTTTGATTGGGATTTTTATCCTCTGTTTTAGTTCTTTCGAAGGATTGTGTTTTGTTTTAGCCTGTGCAGCACTTTGGGCAGCTCCCATGCTGCGTTTTAAATGTGCTATATAAATAAACTATGCTATGCTTCTCAGCTGTTGCCATGGCTCTGGCCTTTGTGGCAGTTTGATTGAGTCACACAGCTCTTTGATTTTTGAGGGGCTCTGATCGACATGTACTCAAATGGCCCAAAGCTTCTTTACCATGACTCAGCAGCTTCCTTCATCCCTGTTGTCTCAATGAGCAGAAAAGGCTCAATATGTCCCCAAATGAGTGAATCATCTGTTATTTTCAGCTGTAATTGTGCCTTCATCTTGCTACTTTTTGTTCAATGTTTAAATTGTGTAAACAAAAGGAAATTTGGGTTTTATTTAAAAACTTTTTTTTTTTTTTCCATTGGGTTCAACAATCACATGATGAATGGCAGCCCAAGGAACAGGAAAAGGCCCAAAGACTGTTCAGGACTAAGCCATAAGACAAACTTTAATCGCTAACCCTCTTGGACGCCTTTTCATAAGCAACTTTTGTTACACCCAGCTTTCTGCTGTGCTACTTTTATTTTGCATTGTATAGCTGTTAAAGATCCATGTGCCTATGATGAGTTCTGCTACTTCTGTTTGACACTAAATAAAACACATGTTTGATCTTGGTGTTGTGTTTTATTTAACTTTTTGGCAAACTTGTTAATTTTAACCATGCTAATGTTACACGGATGTTTTTTTTTACTTGCAAACCTGACATTTGCAAAATGTTTTACATATCAAACATCTGATATTGAAGGTTAAAAGTGATAGGCGAGATAGAAAATGTGCCGTGTCTATTGCACCAAGGTTACTTTTGACACATTTAGACATTTGAATTAAGAAACTTGTACTAAAAATACTAAATTATTCAGGTATTGCATCAACATGCAAGAAAGGTTGAGCCAGAACTCTGGATTATACCAGGAAGTGCATACAGGATGTGATCTTCACCATGGCCTGAGCCAGAAAGCACATGGGCTCTCTGTTGAAAACTCATGATGCTGCAGTCAGAAACTGTGATGCATCACTCAGACGAGTCAGAAGAAACTTGTCAGCAAATATAAAAAGAGACAAATCCACATATGCTGTCAAAATCCGGGGCCATTTAGAAAACAATCAGTGAGTTTTACTTCCTTTCAGCTTTAGTTTACAATGCGATGTGAAA